AAGCAAACGGAGGATATTATTTTAATTTTATTTTTTATTCCCTTATTTGATATTGAGATTGCTATTTAAGGAAAAGGATATTAGCACTTTTTCAGTTGGCTATACCTAGGTTTATCATTAAAGAAAAAAAAGCAGAGTGCATTGTGTCTGTATATGTTGGTTTTACTAGGTTAAATTATTATTATATCTACTAGATAAATGCTATTGTAATAACGTTGAATATTAAGAGAATTCTATTATTTAATGATTTATATTTTTTTAAACACACACTAATTAGCCTAGCTCCAAAGTAAGCACTGTAGGCTTGTGTTATGGTATACTAGTTTAACAAATATAATACGTATACTGATACATAAATAAATATATTCATATAGAAATACTTACATATTAAACATCCATGACTGCGGTACAAATGATCGTATTCATCACACAAACATCTGCCCCACCAGTATTAGAATTTTATTATTTATTTATTTAATTTATCCTAAAACTAAAATTACATATTGACAGAGAACCCTATATGATATATTAAGGGGAAAGGACAAACGTATTCAATAAAAAAATGGGCGATTATCTGTTTGGCGATATTATTTCGGCCAATACACCTCTTGCCACAGCACCTACCTGCTATGAATGAGTGAGCTATTATAAACGACCGTGTTTGTAGCTAAAAAATAACTACATTATTAATAAGCGTTTGATTTTCTGATACTATTTTTTTTTCAATCGTATTTATTAAGAGCCTTTAACCTAATATAAAGGATATGCCAGCCTCATCATATCTTAACATTATAAATAACAAAATTATTCTTAAACTATGAATTAAATTAGATATTATTTATAAGTAGTTTAAGGTAATTTGTATTTAAATTTTATACACCAGGTAATTTTTTAATTAATGTTATTTTATTTCTATATATTATAATACTATAAATAAAGCAAAGTACATATTTTATAAACTACGAAGATTAATTGTTGCAAAAAATATATATAAGGCTTTTGAATATTTCCGACTGCGGATCTGCCAATATTGTTGCGAATATCCCTTAGACCGAACACGTATTATGTTTTTGCAATAATGACATTGTCTTAGTTATACATAATAGGTACACTCTACAACAGTGTTTCCACTTTAATGATTTCCTTTCCCCACGCCTCAATTCAAATTTCCCCTTCTTAGGACATTTTTCCCCTCAAAAATTATTCTGCTATAGTTTTTAGCTTTGGCACTACTGTTGTAACTAAAGAAAAAAAAGGTCTTAATCTATTTTATTCTATAACAGATAAATAAAATATATAAAATCTGCACGTGTTGCCACAGTTTCTTTTATACGGCAACACTCTAATCCACGGTATAGTCCACAAACAATTTGTTCCGTGCCGCATTATTTTAGGCTAGGCTAGGCTTTACCCATAATTTAACCTATAGGATGGGTGTGAATCCCTAAACACAGGCTATATTTATAGCCTTTCTAGGGTCAGTTGTACTTTTTCATTTTAAGACTACTGCCTTATGTAAAAAAAATGAGTGCGTGTACTTATGTGGGCGCGTGAGAAGTTATCCTTCTTTGGCATCGTTTAAAATTAGTTTTTAATTGCATGCAAATAATTAATTACAATACATTAATAAAAAGTCTGGAAAAGGACACAGTCAATAAAGTTCAGTTTTAATTTGAAAAAATAAATAAATAATCAAAATATTCAATTAAAATCGCTACTGAATATAATTTATTAGAACATATGTGATTTGCACTTGTATGAAACTCAAACACGTATTCCGTATATACAAACTAGAAACATGTGGATAAATATTATAAATATGAATACCTATAACTGTTACTTTATTACAAAAAATAAAGATGTGGTTTTTGGTTCTACTACACCAATGGTCAAGAGATGGCGCTGTAGTCTCCTGAATCGCGCTTTGGTTCCGTTGTTCCAGATTAATAAATACTTTTGATAGGCCTTCACTTGCAGTCGTTAGCACCCACTAAATAGAGATTCTATTTCTATTTTGTTGGTAGATTTTCTTAATGTGCGGTAAACACAAAAGTAACGCATGAAGTTGGTCGCTAAAGCGACCTAGTCCAGCGATCCAGTATGTCTCGTAAATTTAACAGCTGTAAAATTTTTGTACCTTATATGTTTTGTTATTATAATTTCCCGCAATTTCCCCTTTTTCTTCCCCTCTGGACCCTAATTTCCCCTTAAAAGGGGAATTTCCCCTCATTGTGGAAACACTGCTCTACAAGCATGTGCTGAACGTCATCAGTCGATGACGTACAGTCGTACCACAAAAGACAATGTTAAAATTGGCCTAAAAACCAACACCAATTTGGCATTTATGATAATTCTTAGTATATTTTTTTGCGATAATTATCAGTATTTAGATTGTGACGGACACTTCCAGTTAAGTAAGCTAATTTAAAAAGTTAAAAAATAATCTGAGACAATAAATACGATTTTATGTGTATAATCTATGGCAGCGCTGCAAACAAAACACTCTTTCTTCCTAATGCCGGCACTTCACTTGGCTATTCGTATTTGCTATTTTAAAACATGGCATCAGTCTGTCCTTTTCATTCCTTATTAAGCATGACAAGGACAAATTGTTGTCAAGTGAAGGGCCGGCATAAAACTCGATACTCTGTGGTTGTGGTGCATGCAGTTTGCATTCGTAGTAATCTGTGGCATTCGTGCATTCCAAAGAGTAGTATAATATACCGGAAAGTGCATTCTCGTTTCGGATTACCTGTTGTGTGTGTTTATTTGCGATTGTTTTTCCTTTAATTTAACTATTTCGGCTATCTAATATGCCATCGATGTTACCAAAGAGCAGAGCCCTTATTACCAAGTGCTAGTGAACCTGTGCCACAACATCCTGAGAGGATCATACTGCCAAATTATTCAAGAACACCTGATACACATTCACGCTGCATATTTACACAATAAACATGTGATATACAAATAAATACAATAAACAATATGATACAATTATGTGAAAAATAGTCAATAAATAAGAAGCAAAACTACAGTTTTTATTTTATCCATATTCCTACCTTACCAAGTTTTTCCTAGTAGTTATTCTTTAAAATCGCACCGAATAAAATGAATTAGTTGTAATATTAATTCACTTCATACTGAGTTCGTACTAAATTCATAGCTTGACCTATGTTTCATTGAATATTAAACATAACCTCAAAAAAGTTTTAGTTTTCCTAATAATTAAAGTTCTCAGAAGTGTCCGTCAATATTCTTTGTTTTTACAGTCATGTACTTACGATTTTGAACCTAGAAAATAATATTTCATGATTGTTGGTTCTTAGGCTAACTATGTATGGACGCTGAACAATGTCTTTTCACAGTTAGGTGAATCTATTTTTTTCATAAACCATAGGGAACCATATTCCTGAATGAATAATCTCTAGTACGGAATCGTAAAGATGCTACAATGAACCATCAGCTGCAATTCAAATTGACAAATCAAGAAATTCTCAGCGGCTGACACAGGATTATCTTGTTACAGATTCTTTTTTCCCTACTTCGCTTGTCAAAATACTCTTTAATTTTTTCAAAACATTTTCTTTTGCATTTTCCCAGAAGCTCTGAATAAAATGGTAAAATATTTGAGTTAACACCTTCACTGATACTTACTTTGCCAGTTTTTCAGTCTCTTAATTTCCTTTAAGACCAGCATGAGATGGAATCCATTGCAATCTCAGTGTAATATAAGGGTACGGCCAGAGTGCACTCAGATTCAGATTCAGACTCAGAAAACAAGCGCGAGAAATATACAGTGTAGTTTAAGCAGGTTGCCTGCGGCCACTATGGCCACCCTGCTTTAATTACACTGTTTATTTCTCGCGCTTGTTTTCGGAATCTGAATCTGAATCTGAGTGCACTCTGGCCGTACCCTTACGCACATTGATTGCATAACTCCTGCTTAAAATGGAGTATGCTATCGTAAGAAGAAGTAAAGAAGAATAAGTAGTTGATAGAAAGAGGCCGTAATTAATCAACAGAAGGCGTGTGGTTTTTCATTATGACAACTCACACATCTTTAGCCAATCGGCAAAAATTAAAAGAGTTTGACTGGGAAGTGTTAATCTTGCACCGCTAGATTTCCACCTGTTTCGGTCTCTAAAGAATTCTTAAGCAAGGTTAACATCACGAGAGGATTGCCAAAACCACTTGTCGCGAATTCTTGATCAGAAGCCCCAAAATTTCTATAGCAATGGGATCATGTCCCTACCTAGAAGATGGCAAAAAGTTATCGAACAAAATGGCACCAACCCACTTTAATTAAGTGTAAATACTTATACTTTATTAAAAAAAAATTTGAATTTTCATATAAAATGCGAAAACACTTTTCCCCCAACCTGATATTTTTCTTCTTCGATCACGTTGACATAGACTGTAAACAAAACAATGTTAAAACAAATAATGTTAGTGTTAAAAATATTACTAGAAAAAATTCACGCGGACCAGGCAGCAGACGGGACGGGTCTGGCTAGAAGATAACGGTCTAAGGACATGTTTATTTTTCGTAGGTGCATAAGTAAAATCAATGTAGTTAGTAGTTTTTATAATTATACGTAGGATTTTTATTACTAATAGTATCTACGTAAAAGCGGTTTCATTTATCACGCCATAAACTGTAGTAATGATAAATCTCGTATCGTGAACAGAACGAAAAGCGAGGCAAATCATAGCTTTCGCTCGCAAACAAACTGTTCCCGCCAATTCGGTGAGCTTTTTTGAAGCTTTTGTGTCTGTGTCAAACCAAATGAAACCCTAAATGCAAGCCAGTAAGTCTTAAGTTCAGTTACTTTTACTGCGGTTGTGCTAAAGCGAGAGAGTAAGATTTTTTGTTCTGTTTTCGAGCATTATTGTGAAGTCTGTCTCTTTTACTCCTTTATAATGAGTGGTGCAAGCAATCGCAACGCTGAACGCTATCTCCCTTTATATCTCAACAAAACTTTTAGTGTCATTTTTGACGTCCAGTGTGGAGGCTGTGGCGCGTCGTTTGCCGTAATATTATTGACGGATACAAACGTAAATAATTACGTTTTGCTAATTATGTAGCGGACAAGTAAATTGTTTCGGAGTGATGTGATTTCCAAGGTGGTGTTATAATTACAGACTGTTTTAAGACTCTTTAAGATGATGTTGGAAGTATTGTTTTGGACTTTTGTTTTCGGCTTGACATGCGTCGCCGAGGCGGGAGTGATGGGAGACCAGTGCGACTGGGCCGGCAGGTACGTGGGCGGAACTTTTCTATTCTTTGTATTTGATAATGATACATGTCACAATAAAAATATGTAAATGGGCATAGCATACAGCCTCTTAGTGTAACTCTTATAAGATTTGTAGTAGACAGATGAAGAAGAAAGAAATAGGTATTAATAACTAAATTAAAGATTGCATGTTTCTCAATATCCATCCGTGTCATAATATTTTTAAAATTTTATATAGTAGACCTTACCTAACAACGATATCGGTGGTGGAGTGGTATTATGTAATATGTACACAGGTTTTTTAACTTGAGTTCGAATCCCCGTGGGGCAATTTTTTGAGCATTTATACCAATTCAAGTAACTGGTTATACATACATATTTATAAAAAAGAAAAATAGGTCTGGATAAAGGTGGTGCTAATATAATAATGGTATAATTTTCTTTAGATTTAAACATCTAGCAGTTAAATAAATGCTAAAAATATAAAAATAAAAGCTCCTTAAACAAATTTTCTACTTTGGTTCCAATTGGGTATACCTACCTACTTAAAATATATCAGTGTTAAGTTTTTTTGTCATTTACCGCTAGTATAACAAAGAAAAAAAAGCGATACTACCTATGTACTTCTAATACTATATAAAAAAATGAAAGCTAATAAATAAGTATATCGTTCCAAGGTAGTTACCTACTCTGTTTCGTTGAGTTACGAAAATGGTATTCTGTAGATTTTTTTTTATTTCATTCTTAGCATTAACATCCATGAATTTGCCTAACAATCTTGACCTGAGGCGAAATCCGTTCCATCAGTGTTAAGCAAATTGCTTATCTTCACAACTAAAAATTTCATGTTTGCGTGTTCAAAATTAGTATCAAATTATTACAACGGCTGTTTTGAATTCCACGAATAAGGACAATCACAAGGACAAGTCATTACTTAAAATATCTCCATAATGATTTCATATTAACTTTAACTCGCAAGGTAGTAACCAAAAACTCATTTGTGGTTCTTATCTTCCAGGCAATTTTATTTTTATTATTAAAATTACAAGAGGTATTGAAATAAAGGTAATTAAATTGGAATGTTATGAAAAAAATAATACCTAGATAGAAATCATTCGGTTTGTAATTAAATAGCAACGGACACTTCTAGACCAAAATATGACTCATAATTACTTTAATAATAGCAATAAAAATACATCAAAGCATCAGTAGGTACGATGATTTGATTATACATAGTAAATACTAAATAATAAAAATAACAAATCTCGATAGCTGCGTTCGAGAAGGCTAAATGGTATTTGTCCCGAAAAGTTTTTTTCCATCAAGGCTATCAGTTTAAATCTATTGACAACCGAAAGCAATAATCATTAAACGACATCCGGAAATATTGGGTGACGAACGAGGATTGCGACGAGGGTGGAACAAAACCAATACAACACTGACTTCCACTGTCGGGGGTGGTGCGTGGGAAATGTCCGGGAAAAGTGTTCCCTACGGTCCCCGCCTCGCCTCGCCACGTGACCCGTCCGGCTGATGCATTGTGCAGGCGCCCTTGACTACACTGTCAACTATTCATAATCAACACAAAAAAAAACCAACGTACACAACGCACAATACCCCTTGCTTGACGATTTTTCATGTTTAAGTTCCCAGCATCGAGAATAATCTATCAATTTTGCTTACGTGCTTAGTATACATTATTTTCATTTTTTGGCATTTCGGAACCATTCGAAATATTTTTGGATTTAATTTGTTTGAAAAAGTTGATAAAGCTAGGTTGCCTCTTGCTTGCCTCCTTGTCGTAAAGTCTATGACAGCTATTGCTAGTTATGGTAGATAACAATCTTTCATTAGTGTGTATGTATACGCACGCTTTTGTTTTGACTATCAGTGGGCATTAAGGTATCGTTAGCTAATAATGAAAATATAATTACCATAGCGCCGTCTCGTCTTAATGTAAGCATATAAGGTATCGAGTAAAAGGCATCGCATTCGTAGTTATACAATAAGATGCAATGAAAGCAACCTGAGATGAATGGACAATCTGAAGATGTTGCAGACAAACAATAAACAAGGATGTTACCTTTAGTCATTGAGTTAATTTTATCCATCTTTTCTTTTGACAATAGTTAACATACAACTGAACTGAGACGCTTACCATGTTGCTAATTAAAGTGTTCTGGGCTCTGGGCATCACAATAATTGAAACTTGATTTGTATCTCGCTTTTTGTATTTCATTAACTATCACTTAAATATTAAGGAACAAGCGGCGATGTTTATCGCTGTAGCGATATAAAGCTGGCTGATGTTGTAAAAGACCTGATAGTAATCAATTTGATGTCGACAGAGAGTCACTCTTTTGTATTCATAAAAAGAGCGAGATCAGTGCATCTCGGCTGCAAAAAAGCAAATTGAGTGTCAATGTACCAGCAGCTCGAGGAGCATTCAGCTCGTACATTAATATTTATTAGGGAGGGCGGAGTTCGAGGGGACCGGGATAGCTGTTTATTATAATTTCCTCCTCATATTATAACGCGTTCGCACGATATGAAACCAAGTGCAACAGATTTATTCACTTGTACTGGGTATGTCGTACACTTATTTGGTTTCAGGCATCTATATGTTTAGAATAACACAATTAAGACATCTAGGTGGTTACGTGGAATTTCCATGAGAAAAATAAATATATATTATATAAAACGTGATTGTAGAAAGTGAGAAAGTTAGTATTGTATAAGTAAAAAGTGATTGCGTTATTAACGTATTTGTGTTATCACTATTGCAGTTAAGATGCGGTACCGGAGATAGTGTTTGTTTCACTTGTCGAGTGACGTCAATTAAAAAGAAGCAAGTAATTGCATTATTAAATTGCCCCATGCAAACGCACAATATGCGACGGAAGTAAGCTGTGGGATACGCAACGTCTGCCTTTTAATTAGGTGTTTAATAAAAACATCGGTGCAGATATTACTATTCGACTAAAGGATTCGTTATTCAGTTAAACTTAGGTACAGAGACCCAAACACGAATTTGGCAGTTTCTTAATCGTGTCGCATCGTCACAGTTTCTACGAAAACTATGTAACGCCCTTACCGAAAGTAAGAACAAACTAGCTCCTTCCATTAAAAGAAATTACATTGATGATACGATTACGGAGCTGCCAAAATGAGTGCATGGGCCTCAGGTCCGGGTTTCGAGGTGTGGATGATTTGGGGCAACGGAGAATTGGAGGCTAACGTGGGGGCATACTACCCCTCCCCCCTTTCTGGTTGGTGGACTGTAATTTTTTTTATCTTCTTTGTGGGAGCCTCTCTCTTATGGGTCGTCTGGGCCACAGCCCATCTGACCTGCCTTAAATTCCTGCTTATAGTACCTTAAAATATTTCTTTCTGTCTCACCTTGTCTACAGCTTTGCTCATTTTATCTACAAAGGGTTCTAGTCGATTTCACATTTTTTCTATGAAAAAGTGGCGCCACACTAACAATATGTATGAACTCCGAACCGCTGAACAATAGGTCTTGTCAAAGAAACATTATCCTCATAAAAAAAACACTTAACACTTCGACTAGCTTTTAACGTCGGTTGCTGTAAATGGGTAATGTTTATAAATGTGACGAATTTTTTGTTGACTATTTCTTTATAGACAGGCATTAAGAAGAAATGATTCGCTTTATAAAAGAACTGTTGATTTCTTAACAAACTGAATTTATTTTCAACGGTTGACAATCTCTATAAAACTGCGTGCGAGAATGTGCAATTAGTGATGCTATTGCGGAAATCGTGTTACACAGATGGATTCCAGCCCAATTCTGGGATCACGAATGTAACAGTTGGTAATATTTTTACGATATTCATGAACATATAAATATACCACCAACCACTAAGTATAATAGCTATTTCAAAATCGGAATAAAATGACATAACATTGTGGTTACGCTACGTATAAATGACCGTAACGAGTGGGTGGGAGTTTTATCTTTTTTTTTTGTAATTATCAAATAAGTTAATCGTGTGAAAAATCGTGTTGCGGTTATGTGAACTTCCTGATTTTGCCCTAAATACATTGCAACATGACTACAAAATGCGGATGTCGCTATCTCAACATGTCGTACCTATCTACTTGTAGTACTAAACTTTAGACGTTCTAAAGTAAGTAGGTATTGGACTTTGGGCTGTTCCCAGTACAGCCTTAAAAAATAGAACTCATAAATAATTTAAGAAGTAGAACTCATAAATATGGTTTTCTTCAAAACAGAGGTACCTAAAATATATTGGGTAGTAAATTCTATTTGGCTTTAAATGTAGTCCTTGATTTTTGATACACAAACGTACCTATACTATTAGCAAATTAACATAACAGAAAACATTTGCCAGCTGTTACTTATTTGAATGCGGCATTTTTTTTTTCTCATCATTATCAACATCATTTATTCATCATGTACTGTATTAGTATATGAAAAATCTTCAAAACTTTGAACTTTGAGGCGTGTGAGAATTTTGAATAATTCGAGTTTATTGGGGGAATTGAAAAGAATTAAACCTAGTATTTTATATATATACAATTTGGATCATCAACATATGTTAATTGTGTTTAAAACTATTATTTATTTTACTACTATTAAACTTACTGAGTACCTACATACGTTTCCGTAAAAATTGTGAAAATCACGAGTTTTGTTAGGATACCAGATGGTCATTTGACATGATCTCATGTCCCCGTGAAGCGTCCACCGTATGCCAGCCAAAACAGATACAGTTTTTTGTTTCATCCTGGAGGAACTTTCCGCTCGGAGTTCCTTGACATACGCTCCTCATTAACACTTACTGATTGTGAATCACTCGATTCGGCTTATGGGAATGGGATCATGAGTGGAGGATTTTTCACATGGACGGACGGGGCGAGGCGGTGGGAACACCACGCTTCGTTCCTGTAAGAGAAAACATACGTCACATGTTGCGAGATGAAATCACGGTTATTTTTAAGCGACGATTGTTTTTATTCGCTCGCCAATTGGGGGC